TATTTTCCCAGGTCCAACTAGGCCAGCGGTTCTCAACCTGTGGGTCGTGACCCCTTTGGGTGTCGAACGACCCTTTCATAGGGGTTGCCTCGGAAAACAAAAAGATATTTACATTATGATTAATAACAGTAGCAAAATTACAGTTATAGAGTAGCAATGAAAATAATTTTATGGTTGGGGGTCACCACAACATGAGGAACTATATTAAGGGGTTGTGGCATTAGGAAGGTTGAGAACTGCTGAACTAGGCAGATGCAGCATTGCCAGAGGGTGGAAATGGAGCCAGGGAAGAAAGAAGTAGATGAAGATTTAGGAAATCTCATTTCTAATTTTGGCTCTGTCACTTTTTAGTTTTAGATCCTTGAGTAATAATATTCCCTAAACTTCAGTTTCCTCCTCTATATGGAAAGTGAGATATAGCTGATAATATCTTAGGCTTTTTTCTAACTAATATAGGAATTTATGAAATTTATGTTAAAAGTAGAAAATGTTTTGCAAAACGTTACCAGGGAATTTATGAAAAGTCTCAGAGGTTTATTTCCATGCAACATCTGGAAGCAACATAATGAAAAATCAGCCAAACACTAAGACAGGATAACTAATTTAAAATTGTCAAAATTTATAACTATTTCTGGGCCAATGATATAGAACTGCCAGGCAATGTACTAACAGTAGTTTTATGGCCAGAATCAACCTTCCTATGGGGAGAATAGACACATGTCCCTGTGTCTAGGTAATGAGAATTGAAGGATAAAAAAATGGAATGAGTTCTGAAGACAAATTTTGCCTAATTAATAATACCTTGGATTAATCCTATATTATTAAAGTTTGAAATAAGCCCCTTCTGGTCAATATTTTAAACTATGAAAAGTAAGTAGAGTATGAATATATTTAACAAGCAGCATAGATATAGTCCGCTAAATAAATGAATTCATACATAATTAGAACAGAATTAATGTGAACACTTTAATTTTTAACTTCTTTTCTAACTATATCATCTTAATAATAATCTATTATTTGTGAAATTCAATGTATAATATTCATTACCTTTTTTAAGCTTCATAGCTCTGTTTAAATGAAGTAAATGAGTATTAATTTAGATAGACCATAATGTTTAAGGCAGTATAACTGTATAATTCTCTTTGCATAATACCTAGTATAGTACAATAGAGATTTGAAATGCTATGCAGTGCTTCCTAGTACAGTGCAAAGATAATATATTTTGGAGCTGGCATATCTAGTTTGTCCTCAGATAATTTCTGACTGATAATAGGCAAACCGGTTAGAGTTTCTGGGACATTTTCTTATTTATAAAAATAAGCATAATAATATTATCCAGGGTCTTTTTGATATACAATGATATAATGACTCATTTATTTTCAGGTAGTATCTATACACATTCAAGTAAATTATTATTCTCATATCTCTAGACATTCCTTAAGAATAAGAAAGGCACTTGCCAGATAGAAGGAGTAGAAGGACAGGGAAGCTTTTTGCAGTATTTCAAAATATGACATGTGCACCTCATCTCTTTAAAAATGAAAGTACTAACAATACCTATCTCACAGCATGAGTGAATATTAAATGACATGTCATAAGTGCTTTGAGTGTGTTCTTTATAATTTCTAAAATAGAAATAGCTTATTTTACTTGATTATGAAGGACATCTACCATTATAATTTTCATGCATATTTTTCAAAATTTTCTATGCCTAAAGAGAACATTTTTCCAAGACAATGGGATTGTACATGTAAAGTATTTGAAATACGATTTTTTACCTAATAATATAAATTGAAGAACTCCTATTTTAAATACTAATTTATTACATATTTTGAATGACTGAATAGTATTTCATTATATGAATGTATCACAATTTAAGCAATTCCCAATTGTTTGACATGATTTTGCTTATAAGAGAAAAAAATTGGAAGCTGTAATCAGCTTCCCTGTACATAAATACTTGTACACTTGTCTGAGTGCTTCCTTAAGATAAATTAGTCAGTAGATAGCCCCTGTATTCAGGCTTTTGATATATGATGCCAAAAGCCACTGTATTTGTTACCTATTGCTGCATTAAAAATCACCCCCAAACCGAGTGACTTAAAATACAATAATCATTTATTATTTCCTATGGTCCTTATGGGTGACAAACTCACATTAGCGACACCTTGCCTGTGCTCTATGATACTGGATCTCATTTGGAATACTGGAAGTCTGAGCTGAAATCATCTGAAGGCTTGCCCATTAACTCATATTTCTAGTTGTCCAATGGTTGATGCTAAGCATCAGCTCAGGGCCTAGCTTCTCACATGATGGTGGGGCTGCGTTTCAAGGGAAATATCATATGTATGTGACATAAGCCCCATCTCTAGATGGAGGAGTGTTGATGTCACATTTATAAGAAAAACTGGTGGAATGGGTTACATATTGCTGCTGTTGTCTTTGGAAAACACTATCTAACTGAGCTAGCATTAGGACTTTTGATATGCATCACCAAAGTGACCTCCATCCATAACGTAAAATTTGAATAATATCTTTGCCTATCTGATGATTTGAAATGGAATTTCAGTATCATTTTAGTTTTTTATATAATTAAATATAGCAAACATCATTTTGCAAGTTATTTGCCATTTACATTTTTCATGATTTTTTTTTTTAAGATTTTTATTGGGGAATTGGAGGGATGGGAACAGTGCTGGGGAATTGGGGGAAGGGGAACAGACAAGTTGCTGTCGTTTTGTTCTTCAATCTAGTTGTGGAGGACAT